AGACCTTAAATAGCCGCTTCAAAGCATCTTCTGGACGCTTGCATGTCCCCGTGAAGAGTGACGATGATTCCTTCCTCGATATAGTATTTCATCTTCAGGTGCACAGTGGATGGCACCACTATCAGTTCAGCTAGGGTAGGCCTCGTGAAAATGCACTGATATAATGATAGACACTATATTACTAGGAATTATGTCTTCATCGACCTAGCCGTTTCTACTGCTCTGAATGTGACGATTAGCTCGACATATCCCTAAGATTTGGTGACAGAGTCGTTGAATCCCTGGAGGTCGGATCCCACATAAGGTGTCAAGTGAGTCTCGTTGAGCTGTAAAGTAGAGAACAACTGGGAGTAAATTATATCAATTGAGCTGCCTTGATCAACCAAGATACTCTGATGTTGAAATTGGCCATTCTAGCTCGTACGAGCAGAGGAATACTGGAATTGGGGGCTCCGTCGGGTAGCTCTTCTCGGTAGAAGGAGATGGGAGTGGAGCTTCCTCTGATCTTATCGAGGGTGGTGTTCTTGTCGGAGCTTGCATCCTTTAGTTGCTCGAATCTTCTCTTGACTAAGTTTATCGTGCATTTGTTGAAGCCTCCGCCGGATATGACCATTGCTGATAGAAATGTCTCCCATAGACTGTGGGTTGCAAAGTACAGGGGGACCTCATCTAGGTATGGGAAATAAAAGTCCTATGGCTGGGTGATTCTCAAGGAAACGGGCATGAGGCTTTCGTCGGGTGAGGGTTTTTCCTCTTCGACTTTCTTGGACTCCTTGGCGTCCTCGCGGGAACCTTCCTTCTTTTTATATTGTTTGAGGTGCCCATCTCATATAAGTATCTTGATGGCATCCTTCAGGTGGATGCAGTCTTCTGTATTGTTTCCGTGACTTTTATGAAATCGACAATATTTTCTTTTGTTCATCCCTGGATTAGATGGTATTTGTCGGGGAAAGCGAACCCCAGCTTGCTTGAACTCCGAGTTTGTGCATTTGATAAGAATACGCTCGTACGAAGCGTTGAATGGGGGTGTAGTCGTGGAAATAACCAGCGGGCCCCTTGTATCTTGTGAACCGTAGGATTTGTCCTCCCTTTGTTGAATATTTCGATATACGCTCAGAGGGATTCATTCTTCCTTTGTATGATGGCCTCCAGCAAAGCTTCTGATTTGGGATGTCGATAAGATACCGTGAAATGCCTGGAAAAAAATTTCCTTAGATTCTTTCACAACGTGATGGATTCGTCATGAAGATTCTTGTACCAAGCCATGGCTCCTTTTTTGAGCATTGTTGGGAAGAGTTTGTATTTAATTTCTCCTCAGACCCATCTGTAGTCTAGCAGAGCATCGATGTTCTTGATGTGCTCATCCGGATTGGTGGTCCCATCATACGTCCCTAGTCGTGGGGGTTTCTCGAACCCAACGGGCAGGGGAATATCCATGATTTCTCTAGAAAAATGACTGCGGGGATCGTCATTATTTCTTCGATTAGGTGACGAGGTTGCAGAGTAACAGTTGCTTCCTTGTTGGGGTTATTCTTCCGATGGGAAGACATGCTCCTCCGATTGCACCTTGGTATGGGCAGTGGTGAATGGTCGTTATCCATCCACTAATTACCCCTCGTCTTCTTGGTGACCAGGGAGCATCGCTCTTTATGCGGAGGCGTGCAATCCGGTTCCTTAGGAAAGAAAATTCTTACTTATTTCGCGTGGGAAGACAGCCACGCCTTGGCGGTGATGGACTCCGGGAGTCATGACGTCGGTGTCTCCGAAGAGGGGACCTTGACTGCTTCTGTTCCCAAGCTCCAATCTTGTTGCTCTGTTGCTAGATCAGAGCATTAGTCTGGTCGAGGGCAGCGAGCAAAGCTGCCATGGCCGGATTGACATTGAGTGGAATCGGAACTGGTTGAAGGGTTGTTGGAAATTCCTATTTGGTGGACTTTTTGGGCCTCTGGTTCTCCAAGAAATAGATGTCATCGCGATAACGGTCGACCGAGTCAGGGAACACGGTGTGACCATCTCTGATGTCGGGGATATCCTCGAGATGAGGAGGTTATGTGTCTCCGTCCCTCTTGTGGACGGGGGAGAGCACAGTATTTCCAGAAAAGTGGTTGTCATCATGGTCGGCCATGATAGAAGTCGTGAAAGTTGCTTTGGTCTTCAGTTTTGAGGAAAAGGAAGACCGGGAAGACAATTTCCCACAGACGGCGCCATTGATCATACCAGTTGATCAGAACCTGAAGTGGGCCAAGAAGATGACGTTTGCTTGGCTAGAAATTCGAGGAGATGAGGGGGTGTACCTTTAAGGCAATTTGATGCTCAAGTAAGAAAGAGTGCAAAGAGATACAAGAATGAGATTAGGGTTTTTAGTGATGAATATTGGATACCTGACCCTCACAAGTGTGAGGGTTTTATAATGCCCTCGACGCTTGACCATTGGTTCCTATTTTTAGGTCTAGATATTAGATTCCTCAAAAATAGGTAACTTCCAGGACTTAGTCAAAACGGGCAGTTGTGCTCGTAATTAGTCGTTGTTTCAAGCAAGGAAGAGATTAGGGGCAGATGTGTTATGAGTGTTTTCCTGGTTGTCTGCTCTATGTGCATCGAGTAGACCAGGATATAGCTGCAGATGCAGGCAGACGTATGTCTTAGGCATTGTTGGTCTCGCTGTCCACGGGAAGGTAGAAGCGGATTGGGCCAATTCTATCTGTTGGGCCAATCCAAAACAATTTTTGATGATAACAAAGCTTGATATGTATAGAGAAAAATTTTATACTCTAATTATATTGTTAAGTGCGCAAATTAAAAGAAATAAAATTATGACTCTAGAGAAGTCAAGTATGGATGAAACAGACTCTGAATAAAGCACATCTGAAGTCTGAGCTATGCAAAATCTAAAGATTGGCAGAATCTAAAGATTGACAGAATCTAAGACTTAGAGCATTATATTTCAAATTATTTAAATGTAATATTTTGATCTTCATTTTGTGTAATCAACTTATTGTAGAAGCAAATATGTGAACACATAATCCTTGTATTTAACCTTTTGGTTATTTTTCCTTGAATGACTAAGTGTTAATCAGATTACTCGAAAAGTTATTGACGGTTAATATTTGAGTTGTAATCCCTTTAGAGACTAGGGTATAATCAGGATTCTCAAGAAGATATTGATAGTTTTGTGGTTGTAATCAAATAATTGATTAATTGATTAAGTCTTTATTGAGAATGCAAAATCACCTTAACGGGTGGACGAGAGGTAACTTTGTTAACAGTGAACTATGATAAAATTCTTGTGTCTTTTATCATTGTTGCATTTTTACTGTTTGTGTTCTTAAGTTATAAAAAAGTTTTAATCTTGAAATCGAATTCAAACTCTCATTTTCTTGTGTTTCTTCGCCCTTTCAATTTAATGTATGGTATGGTATGTAATAGATCTGATTTAGTACAAATTGATCAAACTAGTCATTGGTGACAAAGTGTTCTATGTAATAACAAACAAATTAATGTTACACAAAGAAATGACGTCCGTAAACAAATTAGCGTTACACAATTATTGAAGGTGTGAAAATAACTTTTCTTTTAAAGACTTAATACATCTTTTAGTCTCTTAATTTAATTTCAGATTCCACCTACGTTCCTTATTTAATAAATATTCATTTTAAATCCTTTAAATCAAATTATATTAATCATATTGATCATTTCCGATAAATTTTATCAAAATCTGTTAAATTGAGCAAACGTGACACTCTAGCTCATATTAATTTACTGACCTGAAATTATTTTTAATTGACATGTAATATTTCTTTAGTTAAACATCAATCTAGAATTAAAAAATATATATTACTGAAAAGTTATCACTTTCAACTAGTTTCATTCTTTAGGTATCTCTTTCTCTCCTTCTCCTTGTTTTCTTCAATAATATCTCTTTAATCTCACACCAACATCAACTCCAACAATGGAAGACGAGAAAAAAATCCAAGCCTGTTGTTGATTTTGGCCAACCATCAAGCCTTTCATCAATGGCGGTGCTTCCGACATGCTCGCCACATAGTTTTCATTTATCTCTAGTTTTGTATATGGTTCTTTATGATTTTTTGAAATTATACTAAGATCTATGATTTTTGTTTGTTGTTCAGGTCAGGATTCATAGATTTGGGGAATTGCACTTAGATCTAGTGCATTTTGAAGGGAATTACACAAAGTTTTGTTCTTCTGTAGGAAGACACTGTGACATGGTAGTTGAAGAAGAAAAGAAAGAAGAAGCTTCTGGTTCAAGTTCTGGTTCTGGTTGCTTTGAGCAAGAACAAGCAAGGTTTCAAGATCTAGATCTGTGCGATGTGGTAGCAGTAGCTTCTCTGAAAAATAAAGTCCCTGCAATTTAATTTTTTTTAAAGCAAATGCTAACTCAACAATTCATCTATTGTCTTGTTGTCATGTCATCTAGGCACTAGTTTACATTTTTTTCATAAAATTTAACAGAAATGACTAAATAGACTAACAGAATAATTTTTAAGGGACTAAAATATAATATTTATTATATAAAAGATTAAAATGAAATTTAAAATTAAATTAAAAGACTTTCTCACAAATTAAGCCTCTTTTAAAGTAAACCAAATTCAAAAAAATATTATTGATTACACCCTCCAGTCATATATAAGTAATAAAAATGTTTCAATTTTTTGTTATTATTATAAACAAAAGTTATTATTACTAAATTATTTAATATTGTAATTTTTAATATATTTCTCTATTTCATTTTTCAGCATTATATTAAATTTAATAAAAGAATATTATAGTCATTTTAATTATATTTTTATTAAAATTTAAAAAATTAATTAGACGTAATTGAATTTTTTAATAACCGTGAAAATAATTTTTGTTAGTTATAAATATGTTTGAAACGTGTAATTTATTATTTCAACTACCTTGAGGTCCGTGCCAATACTCATTAATTCTTGCTTTTTCTACCGACTCTTCTAGCTCCAGAAACCACAACAAACACAAAAATGGGAACCACTTATCCAACGAAGCCTAACCTTGATTTATTGAATGAACGCAAAGCATTTGATGAAACAAAAGCTGGTGTGAAAGGACTTGTTGATGCTGGGATTAACAACATCCCAAGCTTCTTCCGTCATCAACCTGACAAATATCAGAAATCCAACAACACAAACCATGCTGTTCCTGTCATAGACCTTGTAGATATTATTGATAATAAACAAGATCCAAGTGCTCACCAAGGGACTGTTGACAGAATCAAGGAAGCATGTGAAACTTGGGGCTTTTTTCAGGTTGTTAATCATGGAATTCCTTTGAGTGTTCTTGAGGAGTTAAAAGATGGTGTTAAGAGCTTTTATGAGATGGATGCAGAAGTCAAAAAAGGTTTGTATACAAGAGATCAAGGTAAATCCTTTATTTATAATAGCAATTTTGATATTTATAGTTCACCAGCACTCAATTGGAGAGATACTTTTATGTGTTACTTGGCTCCTGATACTCCAAATCCACAAGACTTTCCTATAGTATGCAGGTATGTTGTATGCATGTATATGAAATTTCGATGCTCCTTGAATGTTGTTGAAATTGAACTTAATCGTCAATTTTTTGGGTTCTAATTGCTTACTTCTTCTTGCAGAGATATATTGCTAGAATATGGGAAACACATGATGAATTTAGGGACTTTACTGTTTGAATTGTTGTCAGAAGCTTTAGGTTTGAATCCAAACCATCTAAAAGAGATGAATTGTGCTGAAGGACTAATTGCTCTTTGCCATTATTATCCTCCATGTCCTCAACCAGAATTGACTGTTGGAACAACCAAGCATTCTGACAATGATTTTCTCACAGTGCTTCTACAAGATCATATTGGTGGCCTTCAAGTTCTTTATCAAGATAAATGGATTGATATAAAACCTGTCCCTGGGGCTCTCATAGTTAATGTTGGAGATCTTTTGCAGGTATGTTTTCTGATTTTTATGATATTTTTTTGTTGGAACGGTTAATAAGAGATGTAAATATATAGCTAATTATATGTTTGTTTGAATTGTAGCTTATAACAAATGACAGATTCAAGAGTGTTGAACATAGAGTACTTGCCAATCGTGTCGGTCCAAGAATATCTGTTGCATGCTTTTTCTCCACAGGTGTTAGGTCATCCTCAAAGCTGTATGGACCTATAAAGGAACTTTTATCAGAAGACAATCCTCCCAAGTACAGAGAAATTACAGTTGCTGAATATGTAGCCTACTTTAATGCAAAAGGATTAGATGGTACTTCTGCTCTTACACATTATAGAATTTGAACTAGGCACTATGGAAGAAAAGAGATTACCTCATACAAAACTTTGTCAGTTTATGATGGTCTAGTTGCTCATGAATTCGACACGATTTGTGACATGAACTAGAAATATGATGTGGTTTATTTTTTATGCTATGGATGAATTACAAAGTATATAAGCATTCACTTACTGAAAAAAAATGCATTTGCTTATGTTAGATCATTGATTTCTTCATATACGTGTTTTAACTCGGTTGTTATCGGGAACTTATCATCTTTGGTTCATTTTCTTCAATCTTTCAAATACTGATCCTGAAAAACGAAAGCAGTATAGGTTGAAACTGAATTGTTGGTTTATATTCCTGATAGTGAGAGTTGAAGTAGAAGGTAAGAAGATAAAAACTGTGGCGCTAATTGGATTACAGAACATAACCTCTTAAAATTTAAATTTATAAATTCAGGAGGCAACATTTTTAGGAATGGTCTTCTGAAGTCTTTAATTTGTAAAGGATCAACTGTCTCTGATATTAACATGTCAAAAATATCAAACGCAAATGATATAAAAGCATTGTCATATTACACAATATTTGACCATTTTATTTGAAGCACTTCCGAAAGTTGTTGGTCTATAGTAAAATTCACAATTCTCAATTTCACAAGTGGAGAAGCCCAAGTCCACACAGATATGTTACTTTAGTCTCTTTTATACACCTGTAAACTAAGAATCCATAAATATATTTTCACTCTTGTGATCAAGTCAAATTTTAGTTTTATGTCCTGAACACTTTTATTAAAAGTAGCAATTTCCCAAAACATATTGGATCTTAGGGGGACAATGTCTTTAGTAGTAAAACTACTAAGGTCAAAAGTCAATCATACCACTAAAACCATACATAATCATGTCAAAATTAGAATCTATACCACATATCTACAGTCTCTTAATATATAATTTTGTAACACTCAAGTTTGAGTTATGGAAGTTGCAATTTATCAGGAAACAATATGAAAATCTGTAGATGAATGATGGTGAAACAATTGCCGAGTTCTTTTGAAATTTAGTGGTTTTGACCAATTAAACGAAGTCGCGTGGAGAGAAGATTTCTGAACTGCAGAAAGTGGAGAAGGTTCTAAGAGCTCTTCTTGCCTAGTTTGATTACAATGTTGTGGCCATTGAGGAGTCCAAAGGTTAGTTAGAGATTAAGCTTGAGAAATTGCAAGCATGTCTGGAAGCTCGTGAGTTGAGGCTGAAATAGAGAAATTTGGAGAAGGTGTTTGAATAAGCTTTGTCGGCCAAATTTTTTAAGAAATGAAAGAAGATTCATCGAAGAACAAAAGAGGCAAAGAAAAATGGAAGAAGAAGTGGAATGAAGGAGATGGTGCATGAAAGAACTCAAGAAGTCCGGGTGAGACAGGCAAGAATGTTGCTTCTCATAATCAGAAACTCATGAAGAAGGTGTAAATGAAGGAAGTTCAATACTTTTGTTGACTAAAGTTTGGATACTATGCTAGAGACTTCTATTTTAGCAAATAATCGAAGGAAAATGACAAAGTTGTGGCACAATTTGCTCATGCTTAAAGTGGTGATTTAAAAGAAGTCATTTTGATGGATGGACATAGTTGGCTCAAGACAAATAGAGTATTTTGTATCTTGACACATGGTGTAGCAATCATATGACTAGAAATAAGAATTGGTTCACCAAACTTGATGAATCACTAAGAAAGTCCATTAGAATTGCAGACTATATCATGGTCAGACTAAAAGGAATGAGGAACATTCTTGTGAATAATTAGGATGGACAAGAAGCTATGATATCTGATGTGTTATGTGTTCCTTCTATGGAAAACAAATTGATCGGTTTGGGTCAATTGCTTGATAAAGACTAAACAATAGGGCTAGCAGATAAATAGATCGGGATTTTTAATGGAAGTTCCAAGCTAATCTTAAAGGCACCCTTGCCAAGCAACAAGACATTTAAGATTATGATAAACATGCTAGACCATCAATTTCTTGCATCGACCACATTTGGAGATCAAAATCGGAATTGCCATAAGAGGTTTCACCATCTAAATTTTAGGAGTCTTAACCCGTTTCATATGAAGAAGATGGTGTATGGACTTCCTAAGACTACAATGCCAAAGCAATTATTTTAAGAGTGCTTCATTGCTAAGAAATGAAGAAGATAATTCAAACATGACTTGCCAATGATGTCACATTAGAAATTAGAGATTGTGAACTCAAATGAGTGTGGTCCCTTTGAAGTGAAGTCACGATGAGGTAACTGTTACTTCTTAACCTTCATATATGAACTCACTAGATATATGTAGATTTATGTGTTAGAGAAGAAAAGTGAGGTGTTCACCAGTTTTAAGAGATTCAAGTTGCTAGTTGAGAAGTAGGTTGAATGTGCAATCAAAAGGTTGAAAATTGATGGTGGTGGTGAGTACACCTCAACTGAGTTTGCTTAGTTTTATGAAAAGGAAGGGATTAAGCATAAAGTTATAGAACCATACACACCTCAACATAATTGAATTTTCGAGAGAGAAAATATAATCATCTTGAACATAGAGAAAAGCACAAGCAAAGCAAATGCCAAACAATTTTTGGGGGGAGACTACCTCAACTGCTGTCTACATCATCATTAGATGTCCAATAAAGAAGTTGCACATCAAGACTCATTATAAATCTTGGTCTGGCCGAAAACCAAGTGTTGGACACATAAATATTTTTAACTCATTGTGATATAGACATATTCCTAAGCAACTCAGAAGGAAGCTTAATGATATAGGCCAAAGCATGATTTTAGTTGGCTATTATTCCACATTTGCCCACAAGTTGCTCTCACCAATTCATAACAAGATGGTGATTAGTATGGATGTGGAATTTGATGAAAGTAGACGATGGAAATGGGAGAACTCAATGCAGGAGGGTTAAGTTTCAAGTCACATTAGAACCACTCTTCAAGATCATAAGCAAGTAGTGGAAGCTGAAACTAAATGTGTACAACCGCAAAAGGTGAGAAGATCATCAAGAGCCATAAGTCAACCATGTAGATTGAATGATTACAAAATGTTTCCATATCAATCCATAAGAGAAAATGGCGACATAATTGAAGAAACCATGATGGCTGAATTTGAGCTAATGGATCATGTTCAAATCATGAAAGATGATAATTGGAAAAATTAATTGAATGAAGAGATCAAGGACGTTGAAAAAAAATAAAACTTAGGAATTGGTTCATTATTCAAGAAAGAAGACAATACATGTCAAGTGGATTTAAAAGTTGAAGTTGAAGCCAAATGTTTAAATTGACAAGCATAACACAAGATTGGTGGCAAAAGGCTTTCTTCAAAATCCTGGCATTGATTTCAATGAAGTTTATGCATCTGTTATTAGACATGTAACCTTAAGACTGGTTGTAGTATTGCAACATGTAGAGGTTAGAAGATGCATCAACTTGATGTAAAATCACCATAAATGAACCCCTATAGAAGTTTATGTGATGTAGCCACCTAGTTTTAAGGTGAAAGGGATAAGGTAAACACATATGACATGGAACAAGATAACTGATAACTTTTAAATCAAGCTATGTTTAAACAAGTTCACATTAGAACATAGAGTGTATGTGAAATGCTCAAGTGAACAAGACCAAGTCATTTTATGTCTCTATGTGGATGATTTATTGGTCACAAGTTCTAATGAAGATGAATTGACAAAAATTAAGTCAAGATTGGATAATGAGTTTGAGATGTCAAACTTAGGAAATTTATCCTACTTTTTAGGAATGGAAATTATAAACACAAGGCATGTGTCATACTCCAAATTTCAAATTTGGTTTTTTTATAAATTTCTTTGATTTATTTACATTAATATTTCGGGTCTTATAAATATTAATTTATTTTTGCTTATTTAAAAATATATAATAGTTTACTTTGAATTATTTGTTTTTCTTAAATAGCAAATATTTTTTTACCCTTCATATGCTTTCAAGTGTCTTTTTATTTTGAATCAATGAGATAACACAATTGGTAAGGAGATAAGACTTCCAAGCATAAGATCACGAGTTCGAGTTTTAACTTAATTTTGAATAATTTTTGTTCTGGATTGGGCCTGCTCTTGGCCCAACTCCATATGAGGCCCAACCCAACTATGTTATTTATGACCAGCTGACCGAATCTGTCCTCGACTGTGTCGAGCAATAACCCCCACTCTTCGAGAGGACGCCGCCTCGCCACACAGGGATAAACCCAGAAAGATGCAAAGAAGGAGCATCGTCGGTCAAGAGGACCTTGAGAGTATTCTCCAGGCTTCTCCTTGAGCAAGACCGATCCTCCTAGCCGGCCTCATGGCTAACGGGGATTATGCCCGATGGGCAGAAGTACCCTACGAGCATCCTCCTTGTAAGGATGACTATTAACGCCTCCAAATATCACTGAGTCCACTTGACCTCGAAAAGATCGCATCTATATCCTTCTGATCATGCAGAGGAATCCATCCAGGTAGGGGACCACGTGCTGGTCCCCACTACTCACGTAGAACCTGGAAGTCTCCACTTTGGGCCTGCTTGCCCATCCCAATGAGGGGACCTTGACCCAACATTGGGGGATATAAATACCTTCTCACTTGAGAGGGTCAGGGATTGATCACTTCTTACTCACTCTTACTTGCTTGCATCATTCTGAATCTCACATTGGCATCGGAGTGTCTTGCAGGTACCCCTCACCTTACTTTCAACTTCTACTCGACGTAAGCTGTGACGGTCCATTCTGGTCAGGTACGATCAGTGGCGCCATCCGTGGGAACCAAGCTTCCCTGTCTTTCACTTACCTAAGACAAAAGAAACTCCAAATTCTTGACTGTTGTACCCCAAAATTCGCCCTCCCATTTTTCATAAGAAAAGCACAACCCTGGGGTTTCTCAAATATTCAAGATTGGCTCAGGAATCGATCGGACAGATTTTCTCCTGTGGCAGTAAATCAGCAATTAGGGTTTTTCTCACATTTCTCAGAAGAAATTGAGTTCTCAGA